TCACCGTCGAACGACTAGGAATAATGCATAATTTACGCGCTGGCCCAGAGCTGGTAATGTGCGTGTGGGTTGGAGCAAATAGCATGAATAGTGGAGAAGACGACTTGGCAAAATGGCCGCGATAACACCCTCAGAGAACTAATGTTGGCAGTAAACCCACCTGATACTCTCTGGAGAGTAGTCCACAACTGGTTGTTACAAACTTCCTTGGAGGCGAACAGTTCACAAGATAGGATCATAACCAGAATGCAGTCGCCGCCAACTAAGAGATTAAGATCATTCTGTTCGAAGTATCTGTGCCAAAATTTCGAACGAATTACAGTTAACCTAAAATTGACCAGAATAATTAGGTGGCGATTCAACTACACAAAAAGACACTGTTATAGCAGGTATTAAGGGTACTAATCCTTATAATAGGTAATGCTATTCTTCGTAGAGACAACGCCACTGGCGAACCAAGATCTTTAGGCAATAAGGTGAGAAATAAAAACAAATTGTTATTCACAGTAGCCGATCGATGTGATCGTCCACCTACATATACAAACATTGAAATTTCCAAAAAGTAAGATCTTAGTTGGCAGACAAAAGATATAAGCAAATGCTGGAAACATGGAGATGGCGCGCACTTAAATCGACCCTGATAACAAAGTGTACATTGTCACAATCGTCGAGCCAATTCGTAGTTTGCAGAAGGCCAAAGACACCAGAATGGGGAAGTTGTTCCGTGTATAACACTAAGCTAATGTCCCTGGCAATAGTGACCGCTGGTTGAATCAAAACTGCAGACCGACGGCCATATTTTATGCCCGAGGGAGAGAGAGAGGGGGGGGAGGGAGAGAGAGTAAGAGAGAGACTTGATGTCGGCACTTTTATACAGGTGTTGAAGCGAGGCCTGTGTTGTATGGGAGTGTGTAGGGTGTCGTGGCCGGGGACCAGCACTGCAGCCATATGGTCACTCCAAGTTCGTCGATACTGTTGGATGGACGTCGCAATACAGTACCCTGTGGAGTCCGTCCTAATGTAAATACGCCGCCGACAAATGCCAAACATAGGGAGGCAACAGGTGAAACCATCTAGGACGGTTAAACTCAGTGCAACCGTGCTGATAGCAAGTAAGTGTAAACAATACACTGACAGTCCCCACTAAATGTATCGGTGAACCTGATGAGTATTTCTACTCCGTCCTTCCACCGCAGCTACGCTCATTCCTTGCGACACGCGGTGGACGTTATCGCTTGAGACGATTGAACTGTCATGCGGGTTGAAAGTCGATTTGCGCACTTATGACACTCTTATTAGTGCTCCGTGTGATGTCTTACTCCCAACCCAACTACTTCTGACAGTCCATTCTCACGGCCTTTACTGCGGCCGCTTATCCATGCCGCTTTCCGGCCACCTAGCGCGCCTGCCAATTGCTGATTGAGTGCGTGTGACGTTGTCCTCCGACCTCCTCCTCCGCCATCTCCTCCCACTCCTCCTCCTCCTGCACTGCCTCAACGACGGCCGCCTTGGCGACTGCCACGCATGACAACACCGCACACAAACCTGACACCACACCAGGCACCACCCCCACTGCCTCCGACTCCAGCGATGAGGATCAGGACTACACCTGCCCTCACTGCGACCGCACCTTCACCTCACACATCCGCCTAGTCGGTCACTTGCGAATCCATCGCACGGAGACTGGCGAACCAATGCCTGGAGCACCAACCTACACCCACCGCACTCGCCTCCCCTGCCCACACTGCTCTCGCACCTTCACGCATCGCATGGGTCTATTCGGCCACATGCGAATCCACGACAGCGGAATTGACCGCAGTCCCGACTCATCCATCATGCCAAATCCCACGCCCACTTCACCACCCTGCGTGCCCACTGACCTTCCGCAACTGACACCGACACCACCGACTTCACCTGCCCACACTGTCCACGCACATTCACCTCTCGCATCGGCCTGGTCGGTCACTTGCGAATCTGTCGCACAGAGACTGGGGAACCAGTGCCTGGAGCACCAACCTATACACACCACACTCAACTCAACTGCCCATACTGTCCTCGCACTTCCAGGCACCCACGAGAACGGGACTGACCACAATTCCGACACGCCCACCACATCCAACACATCCACCGTGCCTAGCTTTACCCTCGCCTCATAACCCTGCGTGCCCATCACCACCACTACCGCCTCCTCTGTAGCTGACACCGACACCGCCGACTTACCATGCCCACACTGCCCACGCACATTCACCTCACACATCGGCCTGATCGGGCATTTGCGAATCCATCGCACAGAGGCTGGCGAACCCCTCCAAGTGCGTGTTGGGTGTGCCTTCACTGGAGTTCCTCGGCCATCAGGTCGACTCTGACGGTTTGCGTCCCCTCCCCTCCAAGGTTGAAGCAGTTCGTAATTTCCCTCCACCAACTTCCAAGCGGCAGTTGCAGCGACTCCTCGGTATGGTTAATTTTTACCGCCGGTTCCTACCGAACTGTGCTGATCTCATGTTGCCGCTCACCAACATGCTTTCTGGTCCCAAAGGCCCCCTCGAGCTGACTGGTGAAGCACTGACTGCTTTTGAGAAAATCAAGAATTCCCTTGCTGATGCCACCTTACTCACGTATCCCGCTCCCGAAGCTCAGTTGTCCCTGATGGTAGATGCTTCGACCGTAACCGTAGGTGCAGTCCTTCAACAACACCTTGCTGGTTCGACTCAAGCACTTGCCTTTTTCTCCAAAAAGCTCTTACCAGCTGAGACACGCTGCAGTACCTTTGGCCGTGAACTACTTGCCATTTACCTGGCTGTGAAGCATTTCCGGCATTTCCTTGAAGGTCGTGACTTCATTGTTTTCACTGACCACAAACCGTTGACTTTTGCACTTCGTTCCCACTCCGACAAGTGCAATCCGAGGGAAATCGCTCACCTGGACTACATCTCCCAATTCATCACTGACATCCGCCACATTGATGGCACGGAGAATTAGGTGGCTGATATGCTGTCCAGACCCTCACTGTCTTCCCTCCAACTCTCACACGAGATCAAGCTTTGCGCCATGGCGGCTGAGCAAAAGCGAGTCGGTTGTCCTGGCGACGAGTCTGTTAGTGGTCTCCAACTCAAAAACGTTCCTCTGACCACCAGCTCTGGTATCATACTTTGTGACGTCTCAACTCCCTTTCATCGCCCTTTCGTGCCCGCCTCTATGCGTCGAGCCGTATTTCAAACTCTGCATGGACTCTCCCACCCTGGGGTCCGAGCCTCTCAAAAACTCCTTGCGGAAAGGTTTGTCTGGTCTGGCATGAACAAGGACGTTAAAGCTTGGACTCGGTCGTGTCTGAGCTGTCAGCGCAACAAGGTACAGCGTCACAACAAGTCCCCACCAGGCACTTTCCCCAGTCCCGACGCACGGTTCAGCCATATGCATCTGGATGTCGTAGGCCCCTTGCCTCCATCCGATGGTTTCACTCACCTCCTTACCCGTGTCAATCGATATACCCGCTGGGCTGAAGCTATTCCTTTGCCGAATGTGCAGGCTGAAACCATCGTGAAGGCCTTCATCAGTCGTTGGGTCGTCATTTTCGGTGCCCCATCCACGGTTACGACTGATCGTGGTGCCCAGTTTGAGTCGGCACTCTTCCAAACGCTACTAAATTTCCTTGGCTGCACACGCATTAGGACGACAGCCTATCACCCATCTGCCAACGGTAGGGTTGAGCGTTTCCATCGTCAGCTAAAGACTGTCCTGTGTGCCGTAGAAGACCAAGGAAACTGGTCGGACAACCTTCCTCTTGCACTCCTCGGCATCCGCGCAGCTCTGAAGTCGGATCTGGACTGTAGCGCAGCTGAATTGGTTTTCGGCACTACCCTCCGACTGCCAGGCGAGATGGTCACCCCAACCTCTCTTGGAGCCGACGAGACTCTTGACAACCTTGTGTACCGTTTGCGGCAATTTATGCGCTCGCTTTCCCCGGTTCCACCTCGAACTCCAATGACTGAGTCTTATGTCGAAAAAGACTTGGGCAAGTGTACTCATGTGTTCGTCCGGTGTGACCGTGTGCGCCAGCCGCTGGAATCACCATACGAAGGACCGTTCCGCGTGCTCGCGCGCAACTCCAAGACCTTCCGGATTCTTCGCGGTGACAAGGAGGACGTGGTCAGCGTCGATCGCGTCAAGGCTGCTGTTGCAGAGGAGCCGCCGGACCTGTCACAAGGATAAAAATGTGCTGACCCCCTAACCCCTGTTCCTCCATCTTCCCTATCCCCTGCTCATTCACCCTGCCCACTGCCTCGCCCTTCCCCTCCCTTGCCCTCCACCCCTCCGTCCCGCATACTTCCTCTCCCTACTTGTCTACAGCATCCAACTGCAGCATCATCCTACAGCACAGCACGCAGTCAACCCTCTTCGACTGTACCTCCTGCTTACATCACTCACAGTGGCCGTCGCGTCCATTTCCCGGATCGTCTAGTTACGCATTTTTTCTAGACTTATGCATATCCTCCGGCGCCGTATTCCGTCGCCCTCCGGTCTGGTAGGGGAGTACTGTGGTGAGGTACCTGACTAATTTGCCTTTGACAATTTAGGGTAGCAATCGGGAGATGGCACCCAAAAAATCCGCCTAACCAAAGCATCCTGTCTTAAGGGACAGGTGGTAAAAGGGGTTTTCTGGGTGGTGGCTGGTCGGGATGTACGATACTAGCCGACAGAAAGCCTTATTTGAACAGGTGAATGATCGAATTTGGCCCGCTCTCCGTTCCGTTATTACAAAATGGGTCGCCAAAGGCAGTATAGTGGTAACGGACGAGTGGAAGGCGTATAATCGTCTTCCCTCAGAATTTTATCTACATTTCTCTGTTAACCACTCAAAGAACTTCAAGGACCCTACCACCGGACGGCACACCAAAGCCCTTGAGGCATACTGGAGTAGATTGAAAAGGAAACTCTGTCGAAAGTTGTGTGGTCGACAAGATAAAGATTGCCAATCAAAAGTCAGGGAAGACGGAATGAGTGGGACAACCTTTACTGCTTGGAAAGCGTGTACACAAAGGCTGTGTGGGCAGTCGCCGCAAGCGTGCTCTCCAGACAAGTTGTTGTCTGTGTCCGCCTTCGTGGTGTTGTCCGTGTCCGCCTTCGTGGTGTTGTGTCAGCGCGTATGCGTCCTCCGTTGTCTCCGCGTCCGCCAGCCAATCAGAGGGGGGCAGCGTTGATTGGCCTGGAGCACTCGCGCGCCCCAGCAGCGTATCGACAAAGAGCGTGAGGCGGACAGGAAGGCAGCGTGACAAAGGCGGAGAGCAAGAACACGCGAAATGCCACAACTCCACGAGGGAGGCCCTGTATGTGGCCGAGCTGTGTGGGCTAACATAGACGAAGTACAGTAGCGTCTTTGGTTCGGCCTCAATGCCAAGTCTTTGACAGATGCCTGGGAACTGTTCCTGTCCCATGTTGTGCAGACTTATCCTATTTAAAAGTGATTTTGTTTTGTAATAAACTGCTATAATGCGAATGTATGCCGTATATTCAGGTGTACGTGTGTAACGATGGGGAAGGTTGGGTAACCGACCATCGTCCATGTAACTTCCTGCGATGTTCGTTCGGCCAGCCCATGTTAGGCCGTCGCAGAAAGTCCAAGTAGTGCGCGAAAGTAGGCCTGCAACCGCTGATATAGCCTGAAGGCGTTTGAGTTCACTACTAAAGTTATTATTTCTAGGTAACGGATTTTTTGGGGGCCTTCTCTCGATCGTTACCCAATTTGGTCCCATTTTCTTTGATCGGGTGGCTTGTTTGAATGTGACGAGAAACGACACACCTGTACAACCCGCCTTACTAGCGTGCTCCGCCGTCGTGCTGTGTTGTCCAGTTTTCTTAACGTTCAAAATCTCTATATTATTCCCTGCTCAGTTTTACTTGTTGCTTCTAAGGCTAGCGGCTGGTGGGATATAACTCGTTACTTCGTGAGAACATTACCATTTACAACACCAGTGCCCGGAGCACCAACCTAAACCCACCAGGCTCGTCTCAACTGCCCACACTGTCCTCGCACTTTCAGGCATCGCATGGGCCTATTCGGTCACATGCGAATCCACGACGACCTGCGGTAGACAACCGCCGGCTACACCACACATCCACACACTCCCTACCTTCCTCCACCATCACCACCACACATCAACACTCACCCACTGCAAGCACCCAACTGCCACCTCCCACGCAAGTGGGAAGTGTGCATCTCGACTCGGTCCCCATGCGGCTTCGGCTGCACGGGCGACTTGAGTCCGAGACTATCCCGACATGTCAAGCGTCGTGGATAGGAAGGTTGGTGATTGACGTCCGCACTCGGTTCACACAGTTCGTCGCGTTGTGTGTGTTGTGTGGAGTGGCGGACTGGTGGGCTGGGCGGCGGGCTGAAGCAGCACCTTCCACGGCCCTCTTACGCAAATGAGAGACACGCCGTTCAACCCCCGTTGTGTGAAATCCTGGTGTTGTGTGTATGGAGGGCCAGGTCGTACTCGTGGCGCGCGCAGTCGTGGTCAGTCGACCATGACAGCCACCCAGCCTATTACCCACTCCAGTCTGCCGACCGGCTTAGACAGCGGCTGGAGTGTGGGGGTGGGAAGGGAGAGTAAGGTCGACGACTCAGCGCATTTTCCTCACTATAAACAATCTGACGCGCTTGAAGCTATCACGGTGCGCCAAAAGCCGTGGCTTGGAAGGTTGCCAACTGACGGGCTAACTTGGACCTCCTCCTTGGCTGGTGGTAGTCTGAGAGTCAGGCTGCAATGGCTCCTTTTTAATGTGACCTTTATGGCACTCCCACCACAGTGTGGGATCCAAGCCAGGTGTTGGCGGCACGCCTAGGTGCTGCTCGCTCCGTGCCAGCCTCCAAGCTCTGTTGTGTTGGTGAAAATCCTGGTTATTTGTTGTGTGGAACAGGGGGTGTGCTGGAACGCCAAGGTGAGGATCCGCCCGAGCCATCCATCTGCGGCCTCTCCAGTCTTCTTGACTCTGTCTTGACACCGGACTCAGGCGGGGGAGGAGGAGAGAGTGTAGGTAGATCCTACGTAAGTCTACTGGCATTATAAACCCCTGCGTAAGTCACCGCCCCTGGGTCAACAATGCAGTCTGTGGGGCACACGGTGGACATTGTCGAAATCGACGGTCGAACTCTCGTGGCTGGCCGGCGCCGCGACGCCGATCGACAGTTTTCTCTTCATCGATTGGTCGCAGTCGCACAGTGTTCGGGAGCATGCATGCATTCCGTGCGCGAACGGACCCAAACGGCTGACGCGGCTGGTGGGAACAATTGCCACCTCTGCTTGTTGGGCCGCACGTACGCTCCCTCGCCATAATAAAGTCTATCCAACCAACTCTTTCTCCCTGAGTGATTTGGGAAACCTTGAGTTATCGACTATGGCACCCCGACACACTTGCCTTGTCGATGGGAAATGGAAAGCCGACTCGTCTTTTAGGGAGAAGGTAGTAACTTGGGATAAATAAACTTCTCCGCCAGACAGTTAATTCGTATGTTCAGTTTTCCTCCAGTCTAACCTATATAGTCAAAAGACCATTTACGACAGCGACCACGATGCACCACAAAATGTCGCTGGCCAGGTTTTAAGAGGTCTTATTTTTTCGATTATTAGAAACGAACAAGCGAGGAGCTGGGTTTAATGCTGACGAGGCTATTTCTCAGTCGTCGGACAGCAAATCATGCACGATTGTGAGTTTGCATTTGACGGCGATGAAGCATAAGACCAGATTCGTAACAGATAGCCAGTAAAAGACAGAAGACTCGTAAGTACGGCGTCCTGCAGACATGAGGGCTGGTGGTAACGGATAAAGGACCTCACTCCGACAGTACTAGTAGTTGGGAGCTTATTGGACGAGAGTCCATGTAATAAGCAGACATGAACTAATGCAGCCGTGATACTGCAATACTGTGGCTGTGAAAACCGGTCTTGCGAGTCCATAGCGCGTGCAAAGTCAAAAATGAT